AATCAATCAATCAATCAATCAATCAATCAATCAATCAATCAATCAATCAATCCCTTTTCTCTTCTGTGGAATTCAATTACTGTCTCTTTCACCAGGCATTGGAAATGAGAACGGTGCTAGTTGGAAGCCCAAGGGAAGATGGCATAATATCCATTGTTACGACTGCGGAGGAAGCGGAAGAACCCAAAAGGGTGACCTTTTCAGTTCCAGGGGCAGGAGGTGTTTTGGAGCCAGGAGAACCACGCTGGGCTAACTATGTGAAGGGGGTTATCCATCATTACCCAGGTAGGCTCTGAGGTCAGCCAGACACTGGGGTTGCTCCATTTCTTGGCGGGTATGGGATGAAATGTGGCCACCATGATACTACATGACTGAACAGTTCGAAACCTCACCTCCGCCGCTGAATGGTGATGTGAGGTGGAATAGGGGTTATAGGTGTCAGATTCAGAGTAGCCTGTCTGAAGATTCTGTGATGGTGCAGGAGTATCACTGTGACATCTGAGAAACTGTTTTTAAAGTTTCAGGAACATTTGGACAATGTTTTTGGAATGTGCTTTGGTGGTGGGTTGGCAGTGTTTCGATTTTGAAAAGAAGGAGATGCTCTAAGCTGCATTGTCAACATGAAAGGATCTTGGGAGCCCTCGATCCAGCATCTGAAAGACTGCAATATGTGAAGCAGACAAACATGTGATTCTAAATTTCATGTGGGTGGTTTTTTGCAGGCTTTTAGAAAGACTTCCCTACTCACACTTACATTCGTGGTCAGCTCTTAAAAATGGGTTATCTTTTCCATTGATTTAAGTGGCACCCTCTTCTCTTTCAGCAGGTGACAGATCATCAGTAGTACATGGTACTCTTAGAAACTTTTACTTTCTTAAAACAATTTTTTTTGATTTGTTTGTAGTCTTATTCTGAAACCTGGGTGTTGTTTCCTTCCTGTTGTTGTCCTGTCCCTCTGTAGCTGGCCCACTCCCAGGACTGAACGCAGTCATAGCTAGTAATGTTCCTCTAGGCGGGGGTCTCTCAAGTTCGGCTTCCTTGGAAGTGGCCACGTACACCTTCCTGCAGCAGCTGTGTCCAGGTAAGAATCACCGCTCTGGCTGCAGGCTGTGACCACTTTTGCCTACTAGCCGTGTTTGGTGAGTGGAGCCAGGAGGGGCTGTCACTCAGGGTTGGAGCACACCTACTTTGCCTGCAGATGGTGCTACGTTTGAGCTCTACATTTCTAAAGAACCAGGCAGCAAGTGTGGGGGAAGGCCTTTCTTTGCCTCAGATATTAGAACGGAGGATGGGAAACGTGGGGCTAACATGCCAGCTAGGGGAGATGTGTGTTCTGGAGGGCCGTGAGCTACCTGCTCTTAGAAAGCTGCTGCCAGCCAGAGTAGACCATACTGGACCATAGAGACAAACCACCTGACCCTCTTGGGGGGGGGTCAGTCTCTGCGTTCTTTCTTTTCAGTCTCTTAACTGGTTGCTATTGAAAGGAGATTGGGGGATCTTCAGCTGGTATTCTTGCTTCAGGCCCCGGGGGCTGAAATAGCAAGGAGAGGAGAAGGCAGAACCTTTGCCCATTGCTTGGAAGTGCTTCTTTGCCTGTGCATGTCTCTCTTCTTTGGTGCAGATGGCCAGGATCTGGTTTCTAAGGCACTAGTATGCCAGAAAGCTGAGCACACCTTTGCAATGATGCCTTGTGGAATTATGGACCAGTTCATCTCTGTGATGGGGAAGGAAGGCCATGCCTTGTTGATAGACTGCAGGTCAGGATGTTACTGCGGCCTTGTGGTGTCTTCCATCCGTGCAGGCATCTTCTGCGCTAGAGCCCTTGGGATCGTCTGGCTGGCAGCGCACATGGCAGAAATGCTGTCTTAGAAGTTATGGCCGATCCTTCCCTTTTATTATCCACTTTGCTTTAAATCAGGGGTGTCCAACCTTTCACCTTCCCTGGGCCACATCAGAAGATGAAAATTTGGTTTGGGCCGCACATAAATTTGGTTTGGGCCGCGGGGGGGGGCAGCCCTAGCCGTCCTCCACAGCCCCGCTCCAAGCGCACTTACCGGCAGCTGCGATCTCAGACAGCAGAGGCTGCCAGCTTCCACTCCAGTGGCTTTATGGGGCCGGGAGGGGGT